TAGGAAAAAGTTCTTTTTGAAAATTATAATGAAGGGGTGATTAGGACTAATATATTTTGTAGATGTTTAGATTTATTACTATAATTCATATGTAATTTATCTATCTTTTAGTTTTAAAACATTATAAGAAAGAGGAGATTTTATGATACCATTATTTCTATAAACAACACTATTCATTTTTTTCAAGTAATAGTAAGTATTAAAAATTTAATGAATTAAATTTGTATAACTTGTTGAGTCTCTAATTATTAATCTAATAAGCTTAGATTGGACAAAAAACTAAAACTTTTAATAACTAATATTTAATGCTGATTACGATCTGATAATTTATGGGATTATAAATACGGAAACTGCTATTCTATTCACAAATAATCAATCAAATCATCCAATCTATTTTAAGGAATTAAAATTTTTTTTTAAGTTCATAAATTAATCTTAATTTAGAAACACTATCCTGCTAAATAAGATTGAATATACTTTTTAGATGAAATTAGAGATCTATATTTAAGTATGGAGACAATTTATTAATTGAAACTCATCTTCAAGAATTGTTATATATTATCCATACTATTAATATTATAATTATTTTGGAAGTAGCAAATTTAATATTATTAAAAGAGTACTTATTTAGTGATCAAAAGGATGTAATTTGTTGTACAAAATTTTTGATGTATATTCTACTTAATTTAGTTTAAGTTAATTGTAATTAGATGATTATACTCAATTTATTGGTCTATTGTAGAAAATAATAATAAATGAATAAACTTGAAGATGTATTCAATTAAATTTCATATCATAAGTGAGACAATAAATCAAGTAAATTGAGTTTATATCTATGAATAATTGAAGAATTAATGTATTTTATATTATAAGAACTGAAATATGGTGTGTTAATTTGATAGAAGAGTCTGCTCATCTAAGAAATCGTCAGGCCTTTTTCAAAAATTTAGATTTCACTCAAAATCAATATATATTGAGCTTGTTTTTCTCAAAATAGGCTATTCAAATCAAAAAGATTTACTTTAATATATTTCCATTAAGAATATACATTATATACTTGATAAATTATAGATTCTCTATAACAAATTATTTTCATAAATAGTAAAGATTTCAGATCTTAGATTTTCCAAAATTTCCATATAATTTATTTTTTGAGGACTCTTGAGACAATAAGGCTATATTAACTCTATTAAGTCAAATGTGAACCTTTTTCAATATATGATGCGAATGTAAATTATATTTATGACACGAAATTATAAAAAGCTAATTAACAATATTATCCTGCAAGGTTATTTATGATTAAATTAACACGCTTTTAACTTCCACAAGAATAATTATAATAAGTTCATTGAATTTAAAAAGAATTTTTACTAATATGCTAGAAGAAGAAAATTCATCAAGTGAATCCATTTAACATTATTATTTTATAAATTTTTGTAAAATATATATTTTATATTAATAATCAAAAGAGAAACTCATTAGAGTTAAAAAATTATCATAGATTAATAAAGATATTTTATTATAAACTGAATAAAATGATAATAATATCTTAATAGAAAAAGGGAATTATTAAATATCTTATTTTTATTAATTAAATTAATGTCATCTGATCTAGATAAGAAATTGTGTTAAAAGCATAAATTAGAAATTTTAACAATAGATTTAAAATAATCAACTGCTGATGAGGAGAAATACCTTTGTATTAAGTGCTTAATGGAAAAAATTGATATTTAAAACATGGCTTTGGTTGAAGAAACAAAAACAATGATTAAGTAAATGAAAAGTGAGCAATTGAATAACAAAATCAAAGAATATTAAAGTAGGATTGAAAGCTTTAGATAAATACAATCATAAGTTAAAGAATTTAAATTATTGATCAACAACACTATTGACAAAGTTTAAAGTAACATAGATTAGAAAATCACTCTAATGGAGAATGAACTAGATGAATCAGAATCAAAAACTTTTGTTTCTTCTTTTGAAGAAGATGTCAAAATATTATCAAAGAATTACAAAGGATCATTTAGCTTTGAAGTTCCTAAAGAATTGGAGAAGTTTCTAGATGACAATTCTTATATCGATTCTATTTAACAATAGTTA